AAATCTAGCGGATCAACGGCGCATTAACTTAGTTCCTGGTCAGCTCGCAAGTTGATATTATCACGTCCTACACCGTCCATAAGATGGGGGGCCACCTCCCATTTCATCACTCCTCAAACACCCGAGGAGCCGGCAGGCGGATTTGAACCCGGGTCGACTGGGTCGACTGGGTCGACTGGGAGCAGAAGTCAGGCCTTAACCGCAGGAATGTATGGATGCTATTGCCGCTCTTCTAGATGATATTCCAGCGAATTGGAGACAGGCGGCTAGTCTTTTGTTGCCGCTGAGTGTAGAATCTAGGGAAGCGATGGTGCCCCCTATTGAGTCGGTTACTCAAACCCTAGTGTCGAGGCTTGGTTGGAGATGGGGTGTAGGGCCTCCAATCCGATTCCAACAATTATCCGTTAAAATAGCGACTAATATGCAACTTTCACCTTTTTCGATGGCTCGCCGTGTGGCCCATACCCTTTTCATCAAAGAGGCGACGGGTTCTTCTGAGATATTGGATGAAGCTATTCTTCTTTTGCAACGGACATTCCATCGTTTATGGTTTCATTTACGGTGGGAAAATGAACAAAAAGAGATTTGTTGGCGTCTTGCGGTTGATGGGGTGCCTATGTTAGGAAATTCCCATCTTAGGATGTCGCGCCCAACGATATGTGGTTGTGGAGGTTATCCAATAGGTTCAGTGGGAGGTGTATCCCCTCGCTATCATCATTTCTGGGCCTGTCCGGTGGCACAGGCAATAGCAGATCAACTTACTCTTTCAATAGGATTGCCAGTCTCAAGGGAGCAACTTTGGCTTATCCAAGCCCCACAATCAGTGCAACAATGTGTTTGGGATGTTGTGGCTCTTGCTGCGGTGTCAGCCATGGAGCATGGGAGACGTTATATGGCTGCAAACATGAAAACCAACCCGGCACTGTTACCTGGTCCTTCCCTTACGGAAGAAGCAATTTGTCGAGTTATTGTTGATTTTTGGGGCCGCATTCAGGGTTTCGCAGCTTTAGGAATTCCACGAAAAGGTTGGGAATCCGTTGGCGCACATCACCCCTTTTTGAGGATTATATCTGGCAAATTGATTTGTTCGCGAGAGCGGTTACCGATGAGAGGTTAATTATCTGAGATGATAATCTTTTGGTATATTAGTCTCTACTGCAGTGCACGGCCAGCTGGCCCGATGGCTCTACTCTTCGGGAGTCTGGAGCCCACTGTAACAACCACACACACACTTCGCGTCCTCTAGTCAGGTTAAGATATATGGCGCTCCACGTACCTCGCTAAAAGTTGACTATAAGTCTTGTGCTTATGGTAGCTCGTTGACGGCCATGTTCACTGTAATAATACCGCACCTTCCATTTCTTGCGTGCTTTGTCTACCATATTAAAAAAATTCCATTATACAGCTTGATTCGAAAATTGACCTGAAATGGCCATAGAAAATAACCGCCGCAGTCATTTGCGCTCACGCTCACCTTGTTATACACGGTCAGCTTCATAATATTTTTTTAAGAGTAATCCTCTGATTCTGATGATTTCGCCGTATTCCTGGCGGCGGCGACCGACGTCGTCACCGCGTACCCGCATGTCGTTCGCCCGCAGTGCTACTTTGCTCTTACCAGCTGGACCGATGAGCGGTTATGTATCAGGACCCAGTTCCTAGTTACAAAGCCGCTGACTTTACCTAGTACGAGCTTATGCAAGCGAAAGTCGATTTGTTTAACTTGATACTAGTATGCCATACGTGAGCTTTTAGCAAGAATGCTTTGCAAGGGTTAGGGGTGTTCACATGTAGTCCAATTGAGAGTCTGATTGGGAGTCCGATTCGGGGCGGCTTTCTGAATTGTGTTCACATACGATTCGCTGCACCGCGCGAGGTGCCACAGAGTGCCACCGCGCCCAGCTGAAGCTCCGCGGCTACGCCCCATCACCCAAGGCAAGCCAGCATTATCTAGGAACAGAACAGTATAAGTATCGTTTCTATGGCGAAAATTATCACCAGGCTTGTACATACATAGCTGCAGGAGTTCGTGAAAAATGCTCGGTGCGCTTTGCGTGAATTAACAATTGGAAAATGTTCCTATAGTATTGTAATGGTAATTATGAGAAACGGTTTGTTAAACAACTTTGTTTTGAGAAAGAAAACTGTGAATCACGTCGAATCATACCCGAAGAGGCCCCCCCGGACCCCAATTCCGATTCGGGTCCAATCAGGTCCAATTCAGAGTCCAATTCGCATGAATCAACCCTGATTCGCCCACATGTGAACACGTCCTTAGCGACGGCCTTTCTGCTTCTCTAACTTCAAAATCAGATATTCCTGCGGTGCCCCGAACCATAAAGGGCGCCACCGCAGCACCTACATGTGGTGTGGTTGTTACAGTGGACATGGCAGAATCTACCTTGTTCCAGCTGCACTGTTTGAAAAACCAGCCGAATCTATCTCTTGCTTATCCACTATATTCCGAAAAGCAGAAGGGGGGTTTAGCAGCCAAAATAGTTACAGTCGGTTTGCACCTAAGGTGGTCCTGCTGCCACATATCCTGGTGCCATGCCATGCCACCGTACCCGTATCTCCAAACGGCCACACTCGCCCCTTTGCATGGAAAAATGTAGCAGCTGGCGACAAGCGCATATACCCGTGCAACGGATTACACCTGTGCACAAAGTTGTACACGAGGGAAAGCTAACAGGTCGGGGAAAGTCTAACCCCGGCACTCACCAACCCCACCCACACTTTCTTCCTACCGCTTGCAGTAGCAACGCACCTCTGCCGTACCGATTCCTTAAATGAAACGAATTCCAACGGTCGTTATCCTTTTTTTTTGAGCATGTACAGTACGGAAAGCCCGCAAGTGGCCGTACTGGAGGACATCCTCCTTAAGTTGGCAATTCGTTTTACTTGGGGAATTCTTGTCCGTATGGAGCCCCCCTAACGCCGTACGACACCCATGTCTTGTCTCGTCGTACGCTGCGGTGCCGCGAACCTTCAGGCACCAGCAGAATCCCCACAAAGAAAACACACCAGCACACCCGTTGCTCTCCCCCTCTCTCGTTCTCTCTCCCTCTCCTTTTCAACCCCCTCCACTGACTTCCTCTTCCTCTTCCTCTTCCTCTTCCTCTCTCTCTCCCTCTTCATACCAACTCCGTGTCACCTTCGCTTTCCCTCCCCCATACACACACAGTCCCACTACCTCCAGATCGCTCCACACCCCGATTCGCCAACCACACGTCCTCAGCTCCTCCTCAGTTGCCTTCCTCCTCAAGTCACACCCACCGACATCGGAATCGACATCGACATCGACATCGCCATCAGCATGGGTCCACATTGCCTTCCACCTGCCCTCCGGGCTACCCGCCTCCCCCGCTGTTGGTGGTAGCGGCGGCGACATCCTCACCGCCGTGGGGCCGCGGCGGCGCCGCCGTGTTGGGACTCCCCCCTGGCGGCCCCTGTCGCCCCGGCTCGCCGGCGGCCCCTGGTGGCCCCCCACCGCCCCCCTCACCAATCGACCCGCGCCGTCTCCTGAGCGGCAGCGGGGGGCCCCCAGCACCCGCCGGTGCTTTGAACGCCAGCCAGCGGATCGGCGGCAAGTCCTGATTAGGTTAGGTTGGATAAGGTTTAATTAGATAAGGTTTAATTATATTTGGTAAAGTTAGATTACATTAATTTAGCGATTAGGTTAGAAGCAATTCAGAGCAACATCAGCAGCTTCAGCAATAGAAGCAGAGACCCAGAATGATAAGAAAAATAAGATGGCAAGGTAAAAACGTTTCAAAACGTCCTGAAGTATAATAAATTGTGTTGCGAGCCTGTTTAGGAACCTGGGAAACGACATGGACCATTTTCCCACTTCTCACACCTTACCTCGACCAATGCGTTTCCCTCTAACAACCCCCTTCCCTCCCCGCCTATTCCCCTCACCCCCCCCCATCTTTCCTCTCCCACCCTCCGCCCCGCTGATAGCCTCCAACCCCTACCACCCACCCCCCTACCACCACCATCCCTACAATACTGCCACCGCCACCCCTGCCATCCCCCCGCCAGTACCGGTACACCCCTTCCGCACCTGCAGCAGCCCCCGTCCTCCTCCCTCCTCTCCCGTCTTCACCACGACAAACACAGGGCCCAGAAGGTACGACAGCAGTGCGCCGCCGAGGAGTCCGCCGAGGTGGCCGCTGGGGGGGTGGGGAGGGCGGGGGGCCGGGGGGAAAGAAAGGGGAGAGCGGGTTAGAGGGGGGATGGAGGGTACTTGTATACACGTGTGTGATTAGTCAAATGTGTGATAAGTCGAAGAAGGAGGTCCCGCCGCGGTGCCAAAGCGGTGGTTGGCCCCTCCGGGGCCCTACACACCACCACCACCACCACCACCACCACCGCACACACAGTCTTCCCATCCCGGCCGTTCCCGCCACTTCGCACTCACAAGTTGTCAATCCGCTTGCTCACGAGCGAATACGCGATGTTGATGGCGGCTGCCAAACCCAGACTGCGGAGGCCGCTCTCACTGGCGGGACCCAACACATCACGGTGCCGCCTTGTGTATTGGAGGGGTGGGGGCCGGGGGGGAGGGGGGAGGGGGGAAGGGGGGAAGGAGAAGGGAGGGAAGGGGGGAGAGGACAGAAGGGGGGTTAGGGGGGATAAGTCACATGCAAGCAGAGGCGGGTGAAAGGCAGGCATCCAAAAATATGGAGAAAAGGTCCGTACGCACGTCCGTACAAACGTGTTTGCAGCAGGTCCTGGCTCCGGCACAGCAACTGCTACAGGATTTAACTACACCCCAAACCCCTAAAACCCGCCCCCCATTGCAGTCCCCGCAGTCCCCGACTCTTCCCCCCCCCCCAAGCCGCCAGGCAAAACACCCATCACGCACACAGTCATCTTCCCCCCCCCCACACACACACACGTCGGCAGTGTCTCCATAAAGTTCGCATATGCCCGTAATTAACCCCCCAAACCAATACAATAACACGTGCACATACATACATATATACATACATACATGTACACACGTATACACACATATACACTGACGTCCTCACCAGTAAAACACACCCAATGCGGCACCCAGTCCGAACACGGCTCCACTCGCCCCCACGGAAGGCAGGGGACTCCACATGAAGCTGGCCAGGCTGGCCAGTACACCTGTACGACATGGTGACGAGGGGTTGCTGGGGATAAGGAGGGGCGAGGAGCAACGAAGATCGGGAGGTCTCTGTACGAGGAATTAAAACCCTAATATCCATCCCCCTGGCCTGATGCTACAGCCCTGCCGCCTCCGTGTGCCTCTCCACGCGCCAGAGTCTCCCCCAACCCAGAAGGATTTCCTCCCCCCCCCGTTACCCCCTCCTTACCCTCCCCCACACACCCTGATCCCCCTCTCCCCCTCCTTACCCGAAGCCAGGTATACGACGCTCGTCCTCTTGCTCCCCGAAACCACTTCTACCTGGGGGCCTAGGGTGTGGAGCGCGTGCATATTGATCTGTGTGTGTATGGGGCCCCGGGGCGGGGGGGAGAAGGAGGGGGGAGGACAACAACACCGGGGCGAGGGGGCGAGGAGCGCATGTGGTGGAGAAGGTCGCGGGGCGGGGCACGGGGGAAGAGGGCCGAGCCAGGTCAGGGACGTACGCAGCAGCTGCCATCACCACCACTACCACCATTACATCATCGTCATCATCATCAAGGTTAACGATGATTACAGACATACATACATGGGCATCAGACAACATGAAATAGGAGCCCACCCTGCTATGCCCCTGAAGCCCCCGCGTGTGTGTATTTCTCCCCCTCGTCCCCCCTCCCGTCCCCCACCCCCCCGCCCTCACCAGCAGGTGGAAGGCGTTAGAATGCAAGAACAGCGGAGTCACCAACCGCCACAACTGACCCGCAGCGATCAGGGCATTGACCTGCGGGGCGTCTCGGGGGTTGTATTACGGGTTTTAGTCCCAGTGGGCCGGTGGGCTCTTGCGGGGAGCGGTTCTAAGGAATGGCGAGTGAATGGCGGAGGAGGGGGAGCTGGCAAGATAGGGAGCGCAACCTTCAACGTGCCCCTTCCCCTCCCCCCTTCCCGGCCGCCACTCCCGGAGGTCGGTGGGTGCTTTGGCGTATTGGCGTATTGGTAGTCGCGGTGTACTTTATCGCTTTCTTGTGGTGATTTCCGCACCCGACCTGCCGCCGGTTGACATACCCGCACCCACACACCGCACAGGGATGCGCACACACACACACATACACACATACTGTTCGCGGCTCAGATCAGTAAAATACACACATACACACACATGCAAACATACATGCATGCATACATACATACATAATTGGACTGCGTAGGAACACACGACACGAACGCAGCAGGCCCGGATGCCCAAGTCGGCGGCAGCGCAATGCGGCGCGACACATTTTATAGAAACCCCGGCGCGCATGCCCCGGCGCGCGCCGCAGCTCCGCGGCCGCTCCGGCGGCGGCTGCTGCCATCGCGTACGCTGAGGAGAAGAACACGAACCGCGCGGCAGCATGCGAGTGTAGGAAAGTGTGCGCGCAGGAAACAGGCAGACGCAAAAAGACTGGAAGGCGAGGCCCTTGGATCCGTTTGCGTAGCCGTTACGTTTATTATTTCGCGCGCGCACGCACATTCTTCCTCAGCCGCTGCCGTGCGAAAAACGTGTATGCAAACAATCCTCACGGAGCAGGACAGCGAGAGCGCGGCGCGTAGGGCGAGCGATGCAAAACAACATATGCGTCGCGCCAACCAACAAAACGACCACGCGACTTCGGCAGGCAGCGCCGCAAAACGCTGATGCTTGCAACGATGAGCAGAAAATGCCGAACAGGCACAAACAGGCAGAAGTCGCCCGAAAAGCAGCATCGCACGCATCGGCACATTTTATGTGCGGCCGTTACCAGACAACCGCTCCGACCCGGCCGCGCCCGCGATAGGCGCCCCTTTGCATGCAGGCATTTTCACACTCATCTCAAGAGGCCACTTCGGAGAACATTTCCGTGCAGCGTCCGACTCGGAAACGGAAACGGCGGCGCGGAGGAGCGACCGCGTTTTGCGGCAGTTACCGGCCAACGGCTCCGGCATGTGCGCGAAACGCCGGCCGCCCGCATACAGCACCAGACCAACCGGCCGCGTTTTGCGACCGTCACCGCCACGTGAGGCGCGAAACGCCGGTTCCGTTTCGGTTGTATTTCTGGTTCGATTTGGGATGCGTTTCCGTTTCCGTTTGGGTTACGTTTTGGATTCGTTTTCGTTTGGGTTGCGTTTCCGTTTCTGTTTTCGGTATTGCTTCCGTTTCCGTTTCCGTTACGGTTCGGTTACGTTTCGGTCCAGTTTGGTTCGGTCCTTTCCCGGTTCTGTTTCGGTTGCGCTTCCGTTTCCGTTTCGTGTTCGTTTCCGTTCGCTTGCGCTGCCGTCTCGGGTTTCCGTTTCCGTTTCCTTGTCGGCGACGTCGGTGACGTTCCGCTCCGCTTGCGTCTGCAGTTCGGTTTGGGTTGCGTGCCCCTCCCCCCTCCCCCCTCCCCCCCTCCCCCCTCCCCCCCTCCCCCCTCCCCCCCTCCCCTTTGCAGGGCAACAATTACCCGCCCAAGGGGGCCACCCAACGAAACCACCGGCCACCAGGGACAACTGCCAAAGGGAGGGCCGCCCAAGGGAACCGCCCAGCTGGATTTCCGGATCGGACACACAGAGGGAAACCGCCCAGGGGGGCCACCGAGGGGGCCCAACCGCCCATGGGGGCCACCGAGGGGGCCCAACCGCCCAGGACAACCGCCCAGGGTACCGGTCACCCAAGGAGGCCGCCCACAGGGACCACCGGCCACCCAAGGGAACCGCCCAGGGAGACTGCCCAGCGGGACAGGGACCGCCCAGGCAGGCTGCCGCTGCCAGCCACCGGCCGGCCACCCTACAGGACTGCCCGGGGGGCCGCTCATAGACGCCGCCCAAGGAGGCTGCCCACACGGACCACCCAGGGGGGCTGCCCACACGGACCACCCAGGCCCAGGGAACAGCCCACACCCAGGGAACAGCCCAGGCCCTGGGGAACCAGCCAAGGGAGCCGCCCAGGGGACCGCCCATGTCGCCGTTGCCCCCTCCGGCCCGCCCAGACGGCTTCCCCCCCGCAAGGAGTTAGCCCCTCGGGCCGCATACATACCTTGCATCCCCACAGCAGCAGTACGTCCTTAGAAAGCCAGTTGAGGGCGTAGATGAGCGCGTTGAGGACAAGAAACACGTCCGTGGCGCGACGTGCCGGGTGGCCGAACTCCGACAACGCCTTCCTAGGCCTGTGGGGAGGTGGTTGTGGTGGTTGAGGTGGTTTTGAAGGTGGAAGGTGTCATGCCGGTGGGGAAACGACAAATCAGAGGGGAGCATTGTTTGCTTGCATTTATGAATAGGTGTTTGTAGGTAGGTGTATTTGTACATTTGGCAAAGGCCGGGAAAAAAGGGATGGCGGGACAAGACGAACCACGAGCGAGTGAAGCTGCTGCCAAGGAAAGAGTGCCGCGATGGGATGGGATGGGATGGGAGAGAATGGGAGGGACGACGAGCGCTTGTCCACCACTTTTATGCCGATGGTTGGCTGATGGGATGGGTGTTGAGTTTTAGGGGTGTAGTGTGGTGTTTAGTTGCTCGAGGGGGGAACAGGAGCAGCTGACTTTTAGTCTTTAATATCTCGGGGTGAGGTCCAGAGGCACCTTCCCATCCGGAAGAGATTAAGTGGTATACGGGTGTTTGGGTATTTTCTGATGGTGGGAATGAGAGGCCATGAGGGCCTTATACTAAGGCGTAATTACCAAGCATCCACGGTAAATTCCTTTACCGTTGGCCGTTAGTGCCGCCGCTTCCGCCATCCGGGGATGGACTCCCCGCCGCTGCTACGCCCGCAGCTGCGGGAGCTGTTAACAAAGCTCCAGCTCCGAAACTTGCGCCGAAACGAGATGAAGTGCTCCGCAGCGCCCGTTCCAGTCGCAGGCTCGAGCGCCTGCAGCGCCGGCCGAGCCATTGCAGCCCTGGCCAATTGCCGGAGGCGTCGGCCAGCGGCCGGCCGCTGCTGCCATGCATAAACGCGTAGAATGCTCGGCACGGAATCGAGTGCAACTAGGTGCAGCTTCGTTTTTGGATGCTGAGCTTGCGGACGAGAAGCGTGGAGCTGCGTGGTGACTGAAGAGTAAACTAAGTTATCCAGTAGATACATATCTACTTCGATTTGCTGTAAATTTACCTGCCAGGGATGTCTGGGAACCGTACGTGCAGAGTTGTAGTAATTGCACAAGACGCCGTGACAGCATTATTGTGCGTTATAAGCAATGTAGCGCAATTTGTTTGCAGTGAACCAAAGAAGTGCAAAGTGTCGTGGCATGTGACCCGAATATGCAACGCACAGAATTCCGACAGATGATTGCTAAAATCAATATTACTTTTATAAAATGGAGGTAACAAATTCTCTATTTTAAAAATGTGCCATTTGCGTGTGATCTTTCGCCGTATGTAGGTGCCTTCAAGTACTCGCGACTGTTTCAGCGCTGCATATGATGTTGCGTATGGTTTTCGATGCATGGTTGGGATGAAAGGCAACGCCGCTTGCCTGCCCATAGTGGCGGAGATCCATCGCCTCTGCGCGGATACGGACACAGACATTTCAGTGGTGTGGTACCCACGCAGCCGGGAACAGCAGCAGCAGGCAGACGCGCTCAGCAAATACGAAGATGGATCACAGTGGATGCTGAACACGACCGTCTACGCAAAGCTGTGGGAGCACCCCTGTGTTCACGGCCGCAGCCCGTCCCTGGACGTTTTCGCGGACGCACACACCACGAAGGTGCCAGGTAGTTTCTTTGCGGCGAACTGGTGCCCGGGAGTCAAAGGAGTAGACGCTTTCGCCCAGGAGTGGGGTTCTCCGGGGTGGGGACGCCTGGAAGGAAGGGAAACTGTTCGGCCCCTGCTGTACATTAATCCCCCGTTCAGTGCCGTGGCTAGAGTGCTGCGCAAGGTGGCGGAGGAGCGGCCCGATTGTGTACTGATCCTCCCGGTCTGGCCACGCGCATGGGTGGCTATCCCAAGGACGCTGCCCATCAGAGCGCAGGTGACCATGGTCCACAGGGAGCTCTTCATCCCTGGACCACAAGTGCCCAACACCGCAAAAAGGGGCCCTATGACACCCCGATACCGGGTACAGGCTGTGTATGTGCTATGGTAGAGGCAAGGAACGGAAGAGCTGGGGGACGGGAGGACCTAGGGTCAACACCTGGGAAGTATGTGGGGGGGGAGAGACCGCTCCGCGGTGTGTGTTGGGGCTGATCGGAGTTGTATTTGAAGGGTTTGGGTACCGCGGGAGTGTGGTCGCAGACGCAATGGCCTTCCCCACAATAAGTTAGTAGTGAGTACGGATTACGCGATGACGTTTAAGCAATGCATGTTGATTAAGTGCTCGTCCAGTAGTGCAGTACGGCAAGTGCGGCGCGGGAAGGCGCAGACCAGAATTGGCCAGAGGACAGGGACTGATACGGTAGTGCGTTACAAAGATTAGCTGGGAACAAAGCGCGGAATCCAGACAACGCAAGTTCGCCAGTCAACCGTGCAAGCAAGCGCAAGTCAGAACCCGCCCACCCGCCTGACGATGTGGTGGGGAGAGGGGAGGAGGACGAGCCACGATGTGAGCGCCAGGGCTAAGAGGGGCAGCACCAGCAGGAGTCGGAGGCTAGGATTGGGGACCGGAGCCGCGCGGGACACGAGTGGGCCGAGAGGCATCGGTATAACGCTCCAGGACTTGAGCGCTGCGGATCTGGGAGAACGCGTGGAGCTCCGCGCGGGAGGCACCAGCGGCCTGCGTGGCCTGGATAGTACCACGACGAAACCCATGAGGGGTTTGCCCGACATAGACACCAGCCTCCTCCAGGTGTTTGCCCACTCGCATGGCTAACGCGCTGCTGGAAAATGGACGCTCCATGAAGCGTTGGTGACCCCGGTCAGTGGGACGGAAGAGGTAGTCGGAGATTGCAGACCCTGGGGGGGCGTCGGGGGCATGGCACAGCTGCCAATAGAGGGCGAGGGTGCGGATGAAGGAATGTCGCGGAGAGGGGTCGGGGTGCAGTTCCAAATGGCAATCGAGTAGAGAGTACGAGATAACCTAATGCAGTCATCGCCAACAGAAAACGTAAGCCTCCAGCCTCACGCCGACCGCCTTCTACCTACCACTCATATTTCCTACCTCGTTAACAGGTCTCCGCCGCATTGCCTCTAGTTCGGCTCGTCCCTCAGGTAACTGCGCTCCCTCAGGTAACTGCGCTCGCCGCTACTTTGCCATTCCCATTCGCCTCCACCCCGCCTCTGCTTCTTCACAGAAGCGGTGTTCTCCTTCACCGCTGTTACGCCTCCTCTATGTGACTCCTCCGCATTCGACCGGGTCCTCTGCCTACCCGGTGCGCGCTCCCATCTCCCTGTGCACAGCTTCTTTCTGCCCTCTCTTACAGCTACCTACCTGACTGCAGGACCCACACCTTGCCGGTCCGGTGCCGGGTAGGCTTTCCTTGCCTCCCCCGGCCCTACCTGGGGTGCCTCTCCTTGGCTGGTCATCTTCCTTACTTCCGTCCTTTCCTGTCCCTCGGGGGCCCTACCCCCTCGCCCCCTCCGTGGGCCCGATCACCACTCTGGACTTGTCTCAAGCTCCCGGCCTCTCTGATGCTGCCCACCTGGTAGGCTTGCCCCGCGCCTGGGTCCTGTCTCCTCTCCCTGTCACGCCTACCTCACCTATCTTCCTCTGCCATTCAGGCACTGTCAGAGCCTACTCTGCCCCAGATCTTGGCTGTGCACGCGCCCCACTTCCGTACCCTCTGCTGTACTGGATCCACCTTCCAGCCGCCAGATCTATACCGTCGCCCTCACGAAGGCTGCCACCATCTGCGACAGCTCGTTGGCTCGTGAAACCATTGCCCGTCAGGAGGCTGCCGGTCGTGACCTCTCTGCATGGCTGGCCACCCTGCCCCATGGCAGTACCCTGCTGTCCTGCACTGATGACGACCTGCTCGTCTACTTGGAGGCCCACTGGCTTCCCAACCATCAGTAGATGATCCGAGTCCCAACACTGTCAACAATCATCTGGGTCTGCTCTCCAGACTGTTTAACCGCTTGGGCCGTGGCAGCACTTACGACCGTGGAACCGGCATCGGCAACCCCTGCTGCTCCAGCGCCTTGTCCTCCTACAAGACTGGCTATAGTCGCCTCGCTGCCGACTGTGGCTATGAGGAGCAAGCCACCATGCCCCTTAGCCCTCGCGATTTTACGACCCTCATGGATCACCTCTGGTCCGGATTCCAGGCTTCCACCACCTCCCTAGCCTGCCTGCTGTTGCTACACGATATGTTGTGCTGCCAATTTATGTGGCACACCAGCTACCGCGGCCATGACACAGGCAAACTGCGGCTACATGACTTCTGTGACCTGCGGGGTGGTGGTCCCTTCTGCGGGTTTCCCTTGCCTCTACCGGACCCGTTCAGTGCCTATCCCTCCCTCTCCTTACGGATTGAGCAATTTGGGACCAAAACATCCAAGGGGCGCCGAGCTCCCCCTTTGGAACTGCGCCCCGACCCTTCTCCACGACATTGCTTCATCCGCACCCTCGCCCTCTATTGGCAGCTGTGCCATGCCCCCGATGCCCCCCCAGGGTCCGCCATCTCCGACTACCTCTTCCGTCCCACTGACCGGGGTCACCAATGCTTCGTGGAGCACCCATTTTCCAGCAGCGCTTTGGCCATGCGAGTGGGCAAACACCTGGAGGAGGCTGGTGTTTACGTCGGGCAAACCCCTCATGGGTTTCGTCGTGGTACTATCCAGGCCACGCAGGCTGCTGGCGCCTCCCGCGAGGAGCTCCACACCTTCTCCCAGATCCGCAGCCCCCAAGTCCTGGAGCGCATGGCTAACGCGCTGCTGGAAAATGGACGCTCCATGAAGCGTTGGTGACCCCGGTCAGTGGGACGGAAGAGGTAGTCGGAGATTGCAGACCCTGGGGGGCCGTCGGGGGCATGGCACAGCTGCCAATAGAGGGCGAGGGTGCAGATGAAGCAATGTCGCGGAGAGGGGTCGGGGTGCAGTTCCAAAGGGGGAGCTCGGCGCCCCTTGGATGTTTTGGTCCCGAGTTGCTCAATCCGTAAGGAAAGGGAGGGGTAGGCACCAAACGGGTCCGGTAGAGGCAGGGGAAACCCACGGAAGGGACCCCCACCACGCGGGTCACCATGCGGGTCACGGAAGTCACGTAGCCGCAGTTTGCCGGTGTCATGGCTGCGGTAGCTGGTGTGCCACATGAATTGGCAGCACAACAGGTCGCGTAGTAACAGCAGCCGGGCTAGGGAGGTGGTGGAAGCCTGGAATCCGGACCAGAGGTGATCCATGAGGGTGGTGAAGTCGCTAGGGCTAAGTGGTATGGCGGCTTGCTCCTCGTAGCCCCGGTCGGCTGCAAGGCGACTATAGCCAGTCTTGTAGGAGGACAAGGTGCTGGAGCAGCAGGGGTTGCCGATGCGGGTTACATGGTCGTAAGTGCTGCCACGGCCCAGGCAGTTAAACAGTCCGGAGAGCAGACCCAGATGATTGTTGACAGTGTTGGGACTCAGGTTGTCCACACGACGATTGGGGAGCCAGTGCGCCTCCAGGTAGACGAGTAGATCGTCATCAGTGCAGGACAGCAGGGTACGGCCATGGGGCAGGGAGGCCAGCCATGCAGAGAGGTCACGACCGGCAGCCTCCTGACGGGCAATGGTTTCACGAGCCAACGAGTTGTCACAGATGGTGGCGGCCTTCGCGAGGGTGATGGTATAAAGCTGACGGCTGGAAGGTGGGTCCAGTACGGCAGAGGGTACAGAAGTGGGGCGGACGCGTGCGGCCAAGATCTGGGGCAGGGTAGGCTCCGGCAGTGCCTGGATGGCAGAAGAAGGTAGGTGAGGTAGGCGTGACGGAAAGAGGAGACAGGGCCCAGGCGCGGGGGGCAAGCCTACCGAGGGGGCATCATCAGAGAGGCCGGGGGCGTGAGACAAGTCCAGAGCGGGGATCAGGCCCACAGAAGGGGTGGAGGGGTTAGGCCGCCGAGGGACAGGAACGGACGGAAGTAAGGAAGATGACGAGCCAAGGAGAGGCGCCCCAAGTAGGGCCGGGGGAGGCAAGGAAAGCCTACCCGGCACCGGACAGGCAAGGAGTGAGTCCTGCAGTCAGGTAGGCAGCCGTGAGAGAGGGCCGGAGGAACGGATGTGCAGAGATGGGGGCGTGCACCGGGTAGGCAGAGGACCCAGTCGGGTGAGGAGGAGTCGCATAGACGAGGTGTAACAGTGGCGAAGGACAACGCCGCTTCTGTGGAGAAGCAGAGGCGGGGGTGGAGGCGAAGGAGAATGGCAAAGTAGCGACGAGTGAAGTTACCTGAGGGACGAGCCGAACTAGAGGCAATGCGGCAGAGACCTGTTAACGAGGTAGGAAATATGAATGGTAGGTGGTAGGCAGTCGGCGTGAGGCTGGAGGCTTACGTTTTCTGTTGGCGATGACTGCATTAGGTTATTTCGTACTCTCTACTCGATTGCCGTGCGAACCCCCCAGAATTCCGCCGCATGCGATGTTGCATATGGTTTTCCATATGCAACATCTGTGAACAGGGTGTCATGTGCATATTCCTAGCCGTGCACTAACATTAGCGCCATCAGCCAAGTTTACAATGCCAACCAAATGCTGGTTGCAACACCGATGTTTGCGTTCTAAGATTCAACCCTGGTTAAGCATGTGCACAAAGTTCCAGGAGATGGTTTCGAGACATGTAGATCTTACAAGCTTAAACCTGCATAGGCACATCCTTAGAAAGCCGACGGGCAGTTTAGTACGGCAACAAAATCCTTGCTTGTTAACCATAATTACCGCGACCAGACATCGACAAAAGGAATGGGTCGATCTCTGTCATCATCGGGGGACCCTTCGGCCGCAGAGGAGCTTTCGTATGAGATTGTAGGACGGATGGTCATCTATTTCTGCAAAAGTGGGTCCGTTTTCGGGAGTTCCGGTACGACCCGAAGTGCCCGAAGCGTTTGCCGATGCACACGATTGCAGCCCTTACTTGGTGACACTCAAACCCTTCATTGATTAACCGTCTATCTGTCTGACCTGACAAGCACCTCGTCCGGGCGGACTATTTTGCGGCCCACCTACCGCTAACTCTCTTCCTGGAGTCCTGGAGTCATGATGATCGTCCCGTCACCGTCACGACAGCGTATCGGTGGGGTATTAGTAAACTATTTAACAGGACACCGGTATCAACAGTATTGCGTTCGCGGCCACAATTACATGTACACATCCCCTGCGACTTGAGCGCGCTGTGAGTATATGCCATGCCAAGCGAAGTCATGCGAGTGGTTACAGTCATGTCAGAAAGCGCATTCACGAGCCATGGGGCTCAGGTTGCCCGCCGTTCGTAAGCGATGTCTGTTATGAACCCTTGGCCAACTGGAGTTATAACGTTATAGCGTGTCATGACCAGGTGTGACCAGTTCTAACAGTAATGACTAATTATGAATTAGTTACGAGGAGTTGAACAGAACGATTGTGACAGAGTGTGGTGGGTGCTACATATTTCTTTTCATTTTCATTCTTTTTGGTCCGGAACTGAGAGATTCTACGGATGGGATGACGCGAGCTGACTTTTGCCCGATCGCAGCGGCAGTGAAATTGCAGCGACTGCGCTTGTGTGTAACAGTAGTTTGCCGCATGTCCATAATTTGAGGTATTATTGCAGGAGTCGCAACAGAGAGCGCTTCCAGAATAGCGTAACCTAACTGCGACGGTCCCAATCCATGCCAGTATGATGTTGTTACAGGGTGGTTAAGCTTCACCAGCGGCCCCCTTTCCCGAGGCAGAGAGGGGCACCCTAATCCATTCAACCCATCCGACTTCAAAATGTATTCGTTGAGTTCAGCAACTCACCACCAGCGTCCAACCAAATCTAGCGGATCAACGTCGCCACAACTTAGTTCCTGGTCAGCTCGCAAGTTGATATAATCACATATTGCATCGTCCACAAGATGGGGGGCCACCTCCCAATCAAACACCCCTCACACGGATGGGTCGGCAGGCGGATATGAACCCGGACCCTCCGGGAGCAGAAGTCAGGTCTTGACTTCTGCCAGCCACCTGCCAGTATGTATGGCCCATGGGTCGTCACTGTCATGGAACGCGAACAACGACGAAAGCCTAAAGCTAAGAAACGCTGAGACCTCAGCATGTACTGATGCGAGATTGTTACCTAATTATTTCGGTTATTTTCAGCGACCTTGAAATGGGCTTTGAAGTACGTGAATTTGTTTATGACGAGCTGTCGGCTGACGAACTCCGAGGGCGTGGAGCATTCACAACAGGATGGTTTTCATATGTCATGTGTTACACATTGTCAGTCCGGAACATAACAGCTGCCGCATCCTATCGTAAAGCAATACTGCCGGCCTGCAGACCAGCCTTTTTAGCTGTCGTTGCCATATCTATCTCAACATAAAAAATGAAGGAAGCTACAATGATTAAACTTCAATAGCAAATTTGCAAGAGGCAATCTGTGGTTGGGATGACAAATCGCTTGGATCCTGAATATCATCGATTGTTGTTGCCAACTCTATGTGCCTTCCCATGTCCGCGTGCTTTACTAGTATTAATCATATCGTGGGCAGCTCTCGTGAGCTGCGACTGCTGGAACCTAACCACGAAGAGGTTATATCGAAGACCCAAACAATGTACAAGTAAACAAGTTCTTAGGATACCATTCAAATGATTCTTAGATTTACGCAGCGATTTAATCTGGTGTATTGGCAGGCGAACTATGTGCCAGTGCATCGCAGCCCAGCTCCACGCTGCGCAGCAGCTCAGGATGTGCCCGACACAAGCAAAAGACATCTTCCAAAGCGCCCAAAGTCTGGCCCGCGACAGCGCAACCGGGCCCCGATCCAACCCCAGGCGCCGCCGCCGATGGGACGGAACTCGCAAGACAACCTATTTTTAGAGCCAGGACAATTTGATTTTCAGCAGCAGATGGACCTCATGCAGCAAGCCTTTAACCAAATGTCGGATAACGAGCGCCAAGCGTTCCTGGCGTACCTCGCCAGCCAGGAAGCCCTCGCAGTGCTGGAATCCTCCGCCTCCTCCTCCTCTTCGTCCCCGCGCTCATCCCCGGAGCAGCAACAAGCACCGAACGCACAGCACGCGCAGCAGCAACAGCAGCAGCAGCAACAGGGCCCGGCGTCTGACATGTTGTCAGCCTCCGAAGCACGGGTTGCCGCGGCAGAAGCCCGCCATAAGCTGTTGTCCGAGGTTTGGCGCCTGCTGCTAGACTCCCTGCCAAAGCGGGACGCGGCCATCCTAACGAAGGCCTTGCCACGGGGATGGTACGGCGCACGTGATCTGTCGCGTCGCGACGTCATGGAGGGCCTAAACCGGTTGACGCGAGCGGAGCTGCGGCGGCTGCCGCGGGTTTTAAAGCAAGTAGACGAGCTACAAGCTACAGCCGGCGCCGTCGCGGCGGTTTTTGAGCAGGACAGCAGGCTGCATGCGACCCGACGGCGGCGTCTTGCGGCTCAAAAGGGCCTTACACTGCCAGCGGAGGAGGACGGGAATGGGGAAGGCGAGGAGGAAGAAGAGGAGGAAGAGGCGGCGGCGGGGTCGACAGTGGCGGCGGAATTGACGCCACCGGCCAATCTGCAAGAGCTTCTAGGTGTCGTACAGCGGCGGCTGCGTGAGCAGCTCCGTACAATCGAAGCGCAGGAGGAGCAGCCGCTGCGGGATGAAGATCACCCGCTGCAGCGAGTACGGCTGGGGCCTCCAGACCTGTACGGCGACGAGTACTACAAGGAACCGTACGGTGTCACTGACAGGCAGCAGCAGCCCGGTGCTAGCACCAGCGGCGATAGCAGCGGCAGCGGCGGGGTTGGCGACGGCAGTAGCAGCGGCAGTAGTGTTATTCCGGAAGCACTTCAGGACCGTCTTGGCCGCATGGCGGCGGCGTACGACACCTACGTGTCCCGACATGGCTGGGAGCTGGAGGCTTCAAGGCGGGAAAGCACCGAAATGCGAAACCTCAGCCGGTACGTACTGGAGTCACGGGATCACCAGCTGCACGAGAGTTCTCAAGTACGGGAGATGTATGTGGCTAGGAAGGATCCCTATCAAAAGCCCGCCCAGGATGTTGTACGGACATGGTGCCGTACATTACATTTGCAGTGTCGTATGATGAGCAATACGGTGTCACATGGCGCTGCATGGCACGTGTGTTTAAAATCTTCAGGTTGTACTCGGAGCTTTCAGACTTGGTCGCGGCGGCGGCGGCGCCACCGCGGGGGCCTGGCGGCATGCCGCTGACGGGACGAGCGGCGGCGATGTACGAACAGGATCTAGAGCAGCGCAGTGACGATCTGGCGGCGCAGGTGGCGGCACTGCTGCAGCCGGAGGAGAAGCGACGACTCCAGGCAGGGCTAGATTGGAAGAACTAGGGGATGACGAGTAATGAAAGGAGCTAAGTGGTGCTTGATAACAAGTCATAATACGCAGTTCACAATTACAGACGTGCAAAGTTCCCCCATCATCTCCATGGCGTCGCTGCGATTAGCTGTCCTTCGGCGATGCCTGGATTTTGGCATCAATTGACAATTGCTAATCCGCTTTCAAGTTAACGAACCTGCAAATCCATCGCAAGAATAATTTTTTCTGTATTAATTTTCTTTATTTTACGGGTCACGGAAAAGCCTCGGAGCTGAAAAAGGGAGTTTTGTATACGTTGCCAAAACAGGATCCGGCGGCTCGTTCCGTGGTTCGCTTCATTGAGACCCAGCTGGTGGCCGCTGATGACCCATGGGTCGGCTCCGGAGCGGTGCGGCGGCCGGCTGGGGTTGATGGCGGGGCCACCGGAGGCGACGAAGGTGGTTTAGCGCTGGATTTGGACGAGCAATCAGTAGCTCGGTAAGGTTGCTTCCGGGCGCACTTTGTTACTTGCCTTTCCTTCACTTTTCTTTCCTTCACTAACACGTGCGTTACCATCTGCAAAGCTGATGTTATTCCGCTGTTCCACGGCTCTCCTCCCATCCCCGCGCCCCGCAGTCTGGGTCAATTTATTCGCGCGGCAGCCAATTGGGAGGCATACAAGGCCTTTCTGGAAATGTACGGCACCCGCCATCCGGAGCTTGAGCTAGGGACGGTGATGCGGGTGAGAGGAGGACGTATGTGTGTGTGTATGTGTCTCTGTATGTACGTATGTTTTTTTGTGTGTGTATGATGCGCAAGAGGAATAGAAATGACGAGGAGGAGAAAGGTGCGTTCCCTTACGTGCCTTCGACGACTCTCACCCCCCCTCCGCTTTCCAACCAACCAACTAACTGAACCAGGCCGCTGGCATGAGCGACGGGGACGAATGGTGGGTCCAAATGCCGGACTTTGATTTTGGCGGCCGCAGCTCCTCCTCCGCCTCTGCTGCTACTGCCACTGCCACCCCAGCCGACAGCGGTGTCGGTGTCGACGACGGCGATTCGCTTCCGTCGCGGCCGAGTGTTGACTGGTCTCGTGTGGAGGCTGTGGCGAGTCTCGACTTGGACGTGTTGGCGTTCCTGACCGATTTGGAGGCGACCAGGTACTCCGAGGACACCTTCATGAAGTGGTACTTCCATCCGGTGATGGGGCCTAGGATCCGATCTGGAACGTTGCTGGACCCCAGCGTACGGCAATCGGCTGACGGCGGCGGCACTGGAGACGTCCAGGACAAGGAAGGAAAGGAAGGCGTACCTACGGGATCTGGATCTGGATCTAGGTTGGATTCTGGATCCGGGTTATTGGATCCAGCTGCGCTGCTGGCGCAGCTTTTGGGCGGTGGTGGGGCCAGCAGTGCCGGCGGCGGCGGCGGAAGTATGCCGCAGATGGTGGTGGAGGCGATGGAGGAGGCGATGCGGGGTGGGGCTGGGGGAAGGGGCGGAATGGAAGAGGCGTTGCCGGGCGGGGAAGCTAGGACGACAACCGGCAGGGGCAGTGGAGGCGGGAATAGGAGTGGGGATGGGGGAGTGGCAGCTGGTAGTGGCCTGGGAAAAGCAAAGGGACTGGGCAGGAAAGGGACGCGGGCTTGAGTGCGGAGAAAACTGCATTGCGCCACAACGTTGCATGTTGCAGCTGTTCCGACACCGACACTGCCGATGCTGCTGGAGTTCAGGAGGCTGCGGATGCTGATGCTGCTAGATCGCGGCCTGCGTTCGCCGTTGGTCTACTCTCGCGTTGCTCTCGTCTGTTTGTCCGTCAGTCTGACCTATGAGGGTGCTCTGTGGTATCGGATCTCAGCGGAGCGGAACGGTGATGCGACTGGATTTCGGGTCATGCGGACAAACCCCACCCCCCCCGGAGGCGGTGATGCGGCCCCTGGTGTGTGTGTATCGTTGGGGTATCTGCCATGCGCCTTGGCGATACGGCTGTGTACGACCCCTGCGCCAGCAAGGACAGTTTCATGCCCTGTCTTGAAAATGTATTGGCAGAGCATGTTTGCATCAGACATACATGGTTGTATTTTGCTTTCCGTCCCACAATTGCACCGAAAGAAAAGATATTTGGCGGAAACTTTTCTACATCGTAAATGCCATTATATACGATTGTTGCTAACAAAGCAGTTGTTTTTTATTTTAACTTCCAAGAAGCGTCCTGATCCATAGGTGTGCCGCAGCGCGAATGGCCCTCCTACAACGAAAACCTGGAGTCCTGGACCGTTACGTACAACCAGCAACGACCAACCACCGACACCGACCACGTTTAACATCCACCAGCTGTCCCTCAAACGTTGTATGTCTATACATACACTTAATTGTGTGTGTGCTTTACCTGGTTTGTATTGCCTATCCTCATTGCCCATCCTCGCTCTAAACAAAACGTCATCTTCGCCTCAAAGAACCCCCGGAATGAGCAAGGCCGTACGTTCGTTTGAGGCTGGAGGAGATTAGTTCGTTAGTGTGGTTTCGGGGCTGCTCCAGCCGGGCTCCGCCGCGTCGGTGACGCCCCCGCCGAGCCCGTAGATGCCGCCGACGGCGGTGGCGGCGACGCCGCCGCCCCCAAAGCCATGAGCTCCGCCCGTTGCCGCCGCGCCGCCTTATCCTCCTCGATGGCCAGCTTAATCCTCTCCTTTTCAGCGGACTCTTTGTGTAGCTTCTCCTCCCGCTCCTTGCGCTTTTTCTGTTAGTTGAAAGGTAGGTAGGGTAGGCGGGTCAGTTGGTGGCAAAGTTCGTTGCCTTTCTAGCTGGAAGAAAAGGAATGCGTGCCTCGAAACCATAGTCCATCCTGGGGTTAGTACTCTAGTAGACTGAGGGTTTGGATGGGTGGGATGGCGCGAGAGCACCACCCCCGGTTCTACACGCGTGTATCGCCCCTTCATCAGCGCAGGGCCCTCGACCCTATACATCCCATATATAGTCCAGATCCCCACAAGTATGCGCACAACCGTACCCGCATCCCCTTCAACCCCGCCCCCGACAGCCCAATCCTGGGCCGAAATTAATCCCCCCACAGAAACACACACGCGCACACACGCGCGCGCATGACGCGCTAACCCTCACCACCCACCTCAGCTTTCTCATGCACGGTGTGGAGGGCTCGTTCCGTTAGGTGTAGAGCTTCTTTAAGCACCCTGCCAGGAATCGCCCCGTGGCGGGGGAGCCAACAGTTCGCGGTGGGTTGGAGAGAGGAGATCACCACAGGGAAATCACATAGCTTTGGAAAGTACGAGGAGCCCACACACAGCCGATGGGTCGTTTTCCTAAATGACGCCAACAACTCTCTGCTCTCATTGCAAGAGGTGAAGGAGGGTTAAGGTAGGAGCTTCGGGGGAAGAAGCCGCAGGGAGAAAAGTAGGAAGAAGTATAAAACACAAAACGCGACGAGTCGTTGATGTCGAAGAAGGAAGACGATGAGAGCACAGTACTAGGCAAGTGAGGATTCGAGAATGGGAAGAATGAACGTGCAGATAGATCTGAAGAAGTCTCGGTGGCTACAGGTCCTTGGTGGGCAGTACTTTGGCAGTACATGGATGGGCAATACACGAAGATGACGAGAACCCGTTTCCTTGCCTCGCTGCCTCTTCTCTTCAGACACGGATTCGTTGAAGATCCAAAGATCCAAGGTGGAAAGGCACATGTCGTACACACACGCCGTACACATGTCGTACATACACGTACCCGAACCGCACGCTGTCCGCAGCTGCATCGAACACCCAGTGCTTTTCCATCTCGATCACCTGAGGCGGTGCGGCGCGGGGGGAGAGAGAGAGCAGTGGCAACAAGAGGTCTGAGAGTGAACTGTCGAGAAGAGGTGTGGGAGAGCGCGGAGGAGTGAAGAAGAGGTAAGGAGGAAGGGAACGAAAGTTGTTGATTGACTTCGGACGCCGGCAGTTACTTCGTATCTCAGCATTTTCACATGTCTGATCTTTTGTCCTCATTCCCTCCCCTATCTCCCCGCTTCCCCCTCTCCGGCCCCATTCCCTCACCCTCGGCGTCCATCCCGCATGCAGCAGCAGGTCCTCCCCTCCCTTGACCACCAACACGGTGTTTTTCAGCGTGTTACTGGCGGCCTTCACCTGCGGGGCTCCCGTGAGTGAGCGGGGGGCGGCGGGAGGAAATCGCGTGCTGGAGAAGCACAGGGGAGAAGGCTGGGAAAGGAGGGGGAAAGCGAGTAAAGAAAGGGGAATCTGTGGGTGTTTTGACCCCGGGGGGAAACCCGATGGGAAAGATGAGACCCCCCGTACCTCTCCCCACCCTCCCTCCCTCTCTCCCTCCCCCCTTCCCTCTACTCGTTGATGCAAGTGGTAGTGGGGTGGGAAATAGGCCTAGGCCACGGCCGCAGTGGGGTGATGGAGCCCCGCGGAGCACCGGGGGCCGGAGGGGGAAAGGAGGTTGGGTATCTGGGAATGTGTGAGGGCCGATTCCAGTTCCTGGGGTAGGGGGTTTTGAGCCATATGGGCCGGGGCAGCAACGACTTATATCTACCTGTGCATTACAGCAGTCGTGTACGCATTGTTATGGCATTCTTGAAGATGGGTGCAGGGCGGGTGTCTGCTGTTTCCCCTCTGTTACAAGCCCCCGGTTGGGACACCCTTAGGAGAGTAAATGGAAGATATGGCGTGGTTGGGGACACACACACACATACACACATACATACAGGCGCACGCCCGTTACGGAACAGAGTAGCGCGTGACGACGAGCTTTGCCGACGGAACCCCCTACAACTTTGGGCATTGCGCCCGAACCTCGTAAGGCAAGTGAGCAGCAGATGTTTTTTGTATCTTCCTTGTAGCGTGAACAATTACGCAGGTTACAGCACCGTCGGATGCTGGCCCCCTGGCTTGGGGGGCTTGCCATGCCCAGAAGCAAAAGGGAGTCTGTCTGCTGCTTTCTGTTACCCCTCACCTTCCGGTACTTCTCCTCAGTCGGATTGTTAACGACGTTGCCGAAAAGCTGCGGTAAGTCCGCGTGTAGGTGTTGTGGGTTTGAGGGAGGTTGGGGCCGCGGCGGAAATGACCATTCAACGTAGGTCAGCGAGAGCCAAAAGTACCGGATTGAAACTATGTAGCATAACCATGTATTGCCTCAGGCAGCGTATTTCGGAAGGACCTGTCTGCACATGCAGAGATGCTCCATTGTCTCTGATCCGAACTCCGCTGCTTATGCTTTGCCCACCTTAATGCATGTTGTTAAGCAAGCTTCGATGTTTATGGGGTTGTTATGAAAGTAATCTAGTACGTGGTCTTCAAGGTGATTGCTGAACTTCCGACGACCCTCCAGGATCAGTTGCTGGTCTATGTGCTGCTTTGCAGTTTCTATCAGCGAATCATGGCCTGAACCTGTGTGTTTCTCAGCTGCTGAGGGAGAGATATGTCCCTGTGAGATCTCTGTCATCGCGGACCCGGAAGCCCTCCAGCTCGACTTCTTAATGCTAAAAGTGTGCGACTGCAGCAATCTTTGTAAACTGTTATGTTTATTGAGGAATTCAGCCGGGACACATGCGTTGAAAAGCGTGTGTTTTGAATGGCGCAACGAGGTTCTGTGGTAGATTAACATGTGTTGCTATACATTGTTGGTGCATGCGTTTGGATGATGCAAGAGCATAGATTGCCTTTAGTACTCGCTCCGATAACGCCCAAATTATAACGAAAGCGTTTATCGGCGACCTCCAACTGATGTCGTTGCTTTTGTTTGCAATGTTCTGATCGATTTTACTGTTAGCACTTACTTGTTCGGGGCATCCTGTATGGGAGTTTTCAACTTCCAACTGCAGCAGTTGGAACTGCAGCAGCTGCGCAAGGGGCCTTTAGGGGCATAACGTAGATATGCATCCCAAGACAATTCTTCACGTTGATGATAGCTGATAGCAAGTTGCAAGTGGCGATGAATGATAACATCTCCGCATCGTACACTTCTATACGGTTGACTCGTACCGTACATAAATGCACTCATTGATTTTGTGCACATCCAAGCTGGTATCGAGCCTGTGCCTAATGTGAGGTCTGTCATGGAGATAGATAATCAGCGCGGACTTGCGCAGATCGTACACAACATCTGGATGAGGCGACGCACGCTGATAGCCGAGTAATATGCCTGAGGTCGCTTACTCTGGTTACTGCTTCCTCTCGCAGATTGCGTTTCATAACCCCTCTTTTCTCTTTTTTGTTTCTTTCTCCTTTTTGACAGTACTACAACTAACGGTCCATGAGCCTTCTGGTCATAGCGTCTACGTCTGAATTGGCCTGTAGTCTACCACAGCAGAGATGCTATAAGCTTAACTACGTTGTATATTGGCTTGCTAAAGAGGAACCTAAAGTAGTTAAACTCTGTAGTCCTACAAGCTTATATATGGTGTTGCCTGTCCCCTTTGTTCTTCATCCCTTAAAGGGGAACTAAAGGGGAACCCCTTAGCCTTACAAGCTTGAGACATAACATAGCACATCCCGATTAGCTCTGGCGATTCTGTTTAGCACCGGTAAACCTTTATACATTTCGTCCCTAATTGGGACCTCGGTGATCCCTCACAGCTACAAAATAGATTTCCACCATTTGTCCAACAGGTCACGTACAGCACGCCATCGCTGACTCCCTCACTAAGCAACAAAGCTACCAACCCTGCTTGATAAAGGAAGCACATCGATACATCGGAACAAATTATTTGAATAGGGTACATAGTTGCAAACAAGCCCACGCGCACGTCTTGCTTTGCAATTGCACAACACCACCTGATTTTCAATACTGTCATTTAAATTACATTTCAACTTTATCTCATCTCCAGCTCAAATTACACAATGACTTCAAATTAATCAAGTAGTCGTAGATCAGCACCGGGCTGCAAGCTGGGCAGGCACTGCCATATCGCAGATGTACACTTGTGCAGCAAGAATTGTACATTGCTGTGCATGCTGTACTTGACACGGCCGCTACGAAAACCACGGTAGAAGCGCACAAATCCTATTCCGGCGTAACTTTTCAGTTCACATAATTCGAATTGGACGCACGCTAAATTTTTTATTAGAAAACAGAAAAATCGACTATAAGCGAAGGGAGGGCCTCTCTGGCTCTTCGTGCAGCCCCGCCCGCGATGCAAATTCCGCCCTTCAGGCCTTCCGTGTGTGCACGCTTGTGTACGACACAGTACGACCATTGACCGTTATCGTACTTATCACGTGCAGTTCATCTTGCCCTACAAGTTGGAACTCGTCGAGGCCCTCGCCGGCGAAGGGATTCTCCCAACGAAGTCGAAGCCGCGGCAGCCCCTCCTCCGTCAGCTCTAATGCACCGCGCGCCTTGCCTGGACAGGACATACATATAATAGCGCAAGCAACAGTTTGGGAAATAGGTTAAGGCCTATATGACAACAAACGTCGCGGGCATGTTTCATACGAATTGAACCGTGCAATGCAGTGCAAGGACAGCTGGCCCGTTGGCTCTATCTGCTGCTTCACGAGTCTGGAGCCCACTGTAACAATCACACACACACATATATATACACACATATATATGTGTGAATATATATCTGTGTATATATACTCCACGTTCCGTATTATCCGCACATCCTAAGGCATGGCATCCATTTCCCCAAGCAGCTGGGGATCCCCAGCTGGGGATCCCCTCGGTCCGGACCGAGGGCGGGCAGGGCGGGTGCGCATGCATGTGTGGAAGCCCGAGACCATCCGGGACAACGCGGAGGAGGAAAAGGGACAGACAGAGGTGAGTTCCTGAATATGTGTGTGTACACGTGTACACGTGCACGTATGCAAGTACGCGTGTACGTAAAGACATATACCTGACATGCCTGTGAGTGGGCGCTATGTGTCCCCCCACGTCTGTATTGCTGAATATGTATGTATGTATATATTTATGTATGTATGTATGTATGTATGTATGTATGTATGTATGTATGTATGTATGTATGTATGTATGTATATATTTATGTATGTATGTATATATGTATGTATATATGACTTTGATTACACTGTGGGCCGCGAGAGCCGGGGGCCGAAGCCGAAACACAGCGCAAGGGTCGGGAGCACACAGCACAAGTCGGTTAGTCTTGTGTGCTCCCGACCCCGACTCAGACTGCCAACACTCTACACAGCCACTCCGCAGCCACTCCGCAGCCACTCCATCCGGGGCTCTTCGTGGTGTTTTCATTGCAGCGCCATCCCCGGATGGAGGGGCTGCGGTATATATGTATGTATGTATATATATGTATGCAAGTATGTATAGTACGCATGCACACGTGGTCGAGCAAGTGGCCCAGTACTCGGGGACAACAAGGGGTTGCAACCCGCCGATGTGTTGCTCCCACCAGCGCCACCGGTGGGCTCACCGAATCGGAGGTCACGACGCATATTAGAAGCTTCGGAGCCGTCCAAAGGGTATGTCTCGTTGATCTGCAAAGTCGCGCACAAAAGGGGAGGCGAGGCACGTCCCGGCAAGCCTGTTGACCACGGCGGCTGAACACTGCTAGAGGTTGAAGGGTAGAAGGTAGGTAAAAGGTATGTAGAGGTTAGTTAGAGGTTAGGCACACTGGGTAGGGATCCTCTGCCCCGACCCGACCGCCTTCGGACCCTGTACCGATGTTTAAGTCCTGCATGGGTAGGAGGTGGTAAGATGGAATGCGTGCGGCAGAACCAGGAGAGGATTACACATGATAACTAAAGCAACACGTACTTTAGTATAATTTTGAAATTCTATCTCTGAATTTTTTATCAGGATTTTTTTTGTTTTACACATAAAAAAGGAACGCTTGGGTATGATGCGTCGGTGGGAAACACTCTTTCTTTTTCCTTGCTAACGACAAAATATTAGCTGCTTGCTAAGCCACGGATCGCCTTCCCTGAGTTCGTGGGAACATCGAACCAAACTGGGCCCGGGTGGTTAGCTTCTCATGCTGCAAAGCCCAATGCCTTCATCGTCCAGCTATTAAATAGGCAACTTTGGGTGCGTTTATTCATGTTCATCGGCCCGAAAGAGCCGCATCATACTGCGCAAATGTTTTTGTGTAGGAGATAATGTTATTTTGTAATTGTGCAAAAAAACCAAAAGGTGCATTACAAGTTTTCCTTCCGCCATAGATTTTCGTCTGCCAACGGTCGAGTTATTGTTGACTTTTGGGGCCGCCTTCAGGGTTTCGCAGCTCTGGCAATTCCACGGAAAGGTTGGGATTCTGTTGGCGCACATCACCCCTTCTTGAGAATTATATCAGGCAAATTGCTATGCTCACGGGAGCGGTCACCGATGGACGGTTAGTTATCTGGGTGATTGTCTAATTTGTATATTAGTCTCTACTGCAGTGCACGGCCAGCTGACCCGATGGCTCTACTCTTCGGGAGTCTGGAGCCCACTGTAGCAACCACACACACACACAACGGTCGGCCCCAATCGACCCAGGGTTCTTCACCCCGATACGGTCCAAAACATTTTTGAGATTTTTGCGTTTTGCCCGAAAGAAAAATTAGTGCGCCCCGGAGCATCCCGAACAAATTTTGAGCCTTTCGAAGCATTTCTTCCGGGGCCCTCCCGATGCCTCCCGAAGGCATTTTCGGAGAAAACCGAACGATGTTGAAGCGTAAATTTGGATGTTTTCGGGCGCAGAAGGAGCCTGGAAACCGGGCTTGCAGTATAAGGCCCGCTTGGCCACCAGTTAAACAACAAGTACGAATGTGCATTGCGGCTGTATCGCACACATTTTCATACATCTAAGCATATCCATAATGAAGCATGCCCGAGCCAGCTGATAATGTGTGTTGAGCTTGGCTTTAGTGTCCACCGCATCATCAAGAACAGGCGGAACCGGCTGCGGAACCGGCTGTCTGTCCCGTCCATTGATTCCCTTATGCGTGTTGGATTACTCGGTCCAACCGTGGATATGAAATGCACACCCCTTGTGATAAAAGCTGGCGCCATGTTCCAAGATAAAGTCAAACACCTGTTACTTCAGGCGTCCTAGCATAATACGATAGAATCCAGCTTAACTTTACTCCGAAAACCGCTTCAGGCAGCTTCGGGCTGCCCGAACAAACTGTCAGCCTGACAAGGAAATTTTCGGGGAGGGCCCCGGTAGGTTATTCAGAGGGTTTCGGGCATGACCGAAATATTTGGATACCCTGGTGAAGAACCCTGAATCGACCGGCACCCATCATTAGCGCAGCTCACAAACAAAATTCACAGAAAGGCTAGGAATATGAAACACATTTTGATATGACTTTTTCCTCGCGCCCTCCGAGCGATGGCATGGCATTTGGCAGGGCCTTTGACAGGGACCAGAAAGCAGAAAAAACGTCCTCAGTTTGTGCTTTACCGGCTTCTCCATGAAACATTTCAATAATAAGGATTAGCTTTTAGTCGCGGCACCTCGCTTGACGCTTGAACGTACCTTGACGCCGGGAACAACAGAAACAACAGCCATTCGGAAGGAAGCGCTGTTGACGATGGACAGTTCACACCCTCGAAGAAGCTTAATTCCCTCCCTAGCGAAGCCGGATAGGCCTATGAGGTCGGATGCTGCGTCCATCGAGTCGCTCCGTGCCAGGTCCTTCTGCCAGACGCCAAAGACTCGCGAATCCAATGCCTGATGAGAACATAAGGCTACTGCAGCGCCACCAACGCTGGTGCGGGACTTCTTAAAAAAAGACACCATCTTCCTCTCTGTGACGCGAAAAGTATATGCTTGATTTTCTGAAGTTGCGCGCAGGTACGGTTACCGAATTATATGAACGGATTCAGCTTGTAAAAAGCAAACAAGGAGTCGTCAATGTGCGTGAACCGCAAGCGTTCTTACAATGAGCAAATAATATGCGCTTTTACATGAACGTACGAGCTGAAGACTTTCCGGGCGCCGTTTCGTTGGCACGGTCGTACACGCCTTTCATATGTTGCTTGCAACATTGCTTGGATTTGCAAGAACCCGCGTTAAAAAGCATTTGATTGTGACCCGGCCACAGGCGATTACGTAAGTGAACAAAATACTGTAATGGCTACATCCCGGCGCACCAGGCCACCGAACCAGTTTCCCGTTTCCTCCATTACCTCTCCCGTTCCCTTTTTAAGTGTAAACTGGTTCTGCGACGTGCCGCTAATTTCTTCATACCTTTCACAATTAATACCGAAATCTTCAAGGACATCCAGTCCTCCAGTTTCGAAACCAATCAATTGAGCTCAACAGCGCCAGAGTCAGACTTCGCGAAGCCAACATTGCAACCTAAAACGATAACGAAAAGCGAAATGACAACGCTGAGTTGCAAAGCGCGCCCTTAAAACAAACAATATCGGAACCGCAATAAAAGGAAAGCACAGGAAGCCCACGAGGGCGCAGCAAAAAGCAGCCTCTGCGGTGCTTCGCTTTTGCAGGAAGCAAATAACCAAAAACTATATATCTTTATATCGACTGATATCGACTTGATATATCGACTTGATATCGACTGAAAGCTTATAAATTTAAAAAATGCGGCCAAGGAATTCAGCTCTCTCTGCGGCACCGAACTACCGACTGAGCACCACGCCCTCGCCAAAATTTCAAGTTCACCTTATTTCCTCGCCTTGGTCCTACCTGCTGAGACCTCGTCCACGGAATACTCCGCGCGCCTTCCTTGGCCTTGGCCGCTTGCAACAAACATGAATAGATCCCAACCAACCAATAGCTGAACTCCTTTGGCCCAGATCCGCATCAAGGACCAGCCTCTAGTTTCCCTATTCGGAAATAGAATCGCGGGGGCCAAAAGCTACAGGTCCCCAGTGAGCCTGTTTAGGAACCTTAAATCGCGTGGGCGCGCAAGCTTGGCCCGGCGTCCTATATAGGAAACTTTGTCGTTGAGACCAGCTGCCAACCAAAACGGCTCCTGTGAAATTCTCCTTACATTTTCGCGTGGCAAGGAGAACAGGATGCGGACCTGATGTCGGGACCTGACAGCCGTCAACCCAACTTGCGCGAATTCCTAATCCCACCCCCTTAGGTACCTCCTTACCACGCTGTCTCATTTAGCCCCTTACTCTCAAGAGCAATTATGTAACCCCCAGGTTTTAAGCACCCGGTTGACAAAGAAAACAAAATTCTAACCATTAATGGTTAGAAAAAACGAATATTCGTTTTTTCATACGACGCCAATCAAAGGGCAGCATGTAAGAGAAGTCTTCGTTTTCAGAGCCGTAATTCTTAAAGAAAAACCTGCTTATCGTTTCACAGAGTCCTACGGTGCTGGTCAGCTTGGGTGCTGGTCAGTTTGTGTGGCTATGTGTGTCGACAGTGGCCCAGTCGCTGCAAAGGTGGAATTCAGCTCGTTTGCGGACCGTCAGTCTCCCAGTCGTTTCCTAGGGCCCTATGCCATCCTCCCCTCCCCGCCCGTGTCGTCCTAGCTAGGTGTCGGGTTGTAGGCTGGCGTTGGGCTGCCCCGCAATTGGGACCATAAGTCGTTCAGACATCGGTAAGCCGACAAGACAACCAACTTCAACCGCCTCGTTGGGCTAGCTCTGCTTCTGCTGCATAACCCCCAAAAATGTCCGTCCTGGCCCGGGTCTGCCTGCTCCAGGTTGCGAGGATGTAGCCCAACGAAGCGGAGGCCCACTTGCCGAGGCAAAGCACCTATGGGTATACAGTGCGATTCCTTTGCATACCTGGACCAGCGGTATAACAGAGAAAACGCCCATGCGGAAGGAAGGCCCCTCGACGGCTAATTCGCATCCACGGATGAGCTTGATGCCCTCCTTGACCAGGCCTGATAAGCCAACGATGTCAGCCACAGCATCCATCGAGGTGCTTCGCATCTTGTCCTTTTGCCAGGTGCCGACAACTCGCGCATTTATTGCTTTGTTCAGGCATGTAATAATGCGGCGCTCATAACGAGTTCTATTGACGGCGCAGGGCCTTTCGCGAAGCAGGTTTCGTCCAGCACAATGCATTCTTTTTAGAAAAACACAGAGTAATTTTCTTACGTAGCCCGCTGATTCTGAAGGAGTTAGACTGGTGAATACGATGATGTTCCTCAAACGCTATCCGTACCGAGCCACCAACCAAATTACAGCACAATCTATGGGCCTGTTTCCACTGTCGAGTCTGTTTGTTAGCCGCGAAAAAGTTATTGGCGCGCTAACAAACCCTAACAAAATGGTGTTTCCACTAGTAGCCCCGAAACCATCTTTTTGCACGTCATTTAGCGCCAAAACACCCTAATTCGAGGACAATATTGTAGTCAGTATAGTAAATTGTAGCGCTGCAGCTCGGAGGTGATGCTCTGCGAAGCGGCCTGGGCGGCAGCATGGACATCGGCGTCGAAGCGAAGAGACGGCGCGCCCTGCAGGGGCTGCTGCATCGTTGCCATAAAGGCGTTATGGATAGCAGAGGGCATATTGCCAGAAGGAATCGGCGAGGGCGACTGGTTCTGCGACATTTTCGGTTCGGTCAACGACGCAGGCCGGCAAGCAGTCAGGGTTGTAGACTGAAAGTGTACAGAAGACCGGGTGCAAGTAGATTTCAAAAAGGAGCTCACAAAATTTTCGCGCTCAAAGTTATCGGACCTTATTGGCTGGTCCGGGGGTCCTATAACTTTTATGGACTTATTGGACCGCTAACAAGGCCCCTGTTTCCACATGGGCCCTACGTTCTTCGCCGTTCCTTCGCCTCCCAACATTCCCTTTTCATTTCTATCATACATTTATATAGAATAAGCGATATTGCAAAAGAAAGTGAGCAAAGGCGAGGTGCCGGGTGAGAATTTTCAAAAACGTCGCTAACAAACTTTTCAGTGGAAACACCCGGTATGTTGACTGGGTACTGGTACTAGTACAAAACTTGTATCTTTTTGACAGTCACTTCAAACGGGAATTTTCTTGAAGGCATGGTGAGAGTTGGTGATAAAGTTGCATTGCGGAGTTACAAGACGGTTGGAACTGGTCGTGGTAGGTGCTTGTCGGCGACTGTTCAAAGGTCGTCACGCCATTATCCGTGTGTCATTCTTCTGGAGTTTTGAGGTATAGCAGCCTTCGCTTCTGCGGCTATTTGTACTTTCGCTTTCTTTCTTCCTCATCCGAGTCTCGCTTCATTTGTCAAGATTTGCTAGCGCATTGTGGCGCATTGACGTCGATGGGCTTTTGTCACGGTTGATACATTATCATAACCATGCTCTAAAGGGTAGCAGTCACCCTAGACTGCTACCCATCAACGCATCAACCAGAACTGGCAAGAGCAGTTGCCGGCGAAGGTAGAGCAAATGAAGGGACAGCTCAAGATGGAGCTAGGAAAAGAGATCGTGGGGGAGCTCCTGCAGGGTAATCAAAGCGAGAAGCTATTTTGCCCGGGTCGGCTCCTGGTGCGGACTAAGCCCGCGTTCGTCGAGCAGCTGCCGCAGAAGCTGAAGCAGTTGCTGCGGCGCCACGAACCAGTACGCGGAAATAGGCGTTGATATCTCACCGCGGCTGGACACCCGCGCAGCCGCGCCAACCCTCAAGCAAGACCGAGGCGGGGCGTTTCAAAGGGCATGGTCGTGGTGGATATCATCTTCCACGCGGACAGCCGCGGATTCATGATCCAGGCTCCCAGGGCCGCCGGCATTAATTTATTTCGGCAGGTAGCCGTACGATGTTTCCGTTGTTTGGTCCTTGCATGCTCTACAGAACGATGCAGGCATTACAACTTTTAGGTCTAAACACTGGGGTCCTGGTGAAGCAGCTGCCCGCGTTTGCAAAGTATGTATGTTGTTACAGGGTGGTTAACTTCGCCAGCGGCCCCCTTTCCCGGGGCAGTCCCTGCTCTCCCCTGCTAGAGGGGCACCCTAATCCGTCACCCCATCCGACTTCAGAATGTATTCGTTGGGTTCGGCAACTCACCACCAGCATCCAACCAAATCTAGCGGATCAACGGCGCATCAACTTAGTTCCTGGTCAGCTCGCAAGTTGATATTATCACGTCCTACACCGTCCATATGATGGGGGGCCACCTCCCATTTCATCACTCCTCAATCACCCGAGGAGCTGGCAGGCGGATTTGAACCCGGGTCGACTGGATCGACTGGGAGCAGAAGTCAGGCCTTAACTTCTGCCAGCCGCCTGCCACAAAGTATGTATAGTTGTGGATGTGCCGAAGTACGTCGGTGAAACAGAATGTGGCCGGATTGGAGAGAAGAGTGCAGCAGTATATTGTGAGTGTAGTTGAAGCGTGTTAGTAAGGCGTTTGGCGCACGGGTGAATGTACATGCATTCCTATCATCGTGGGTGCAGAGGGTTGCAGAGATGGGGGATTGGGGGCAGGTACTGGTCAGGCGGGATGGGGAATAGGGTTGACGACGTCAGGATGGGATGTGGGGCCCAGGGCGAGGATTAGGGATTAGGCGTGCTACACTACTTTTGGGATGGGGATTGCTGTCGGGGGTGAGGATGGGGATGGGATCCCTGTCTGAGGGATGGGGATTGCAACCTTGACCAAGGAGGGGATTGGGAGCCCTGGCCAGGGATGGGGATGGGACCCTGGTCGACAGGACAGGGATTGCACGCTTTCGCAAGTTTAGGATGAGGTCGCTGCCATAGGATTGGGAACACAGTTGGAGGATTAGAATTGGGTGTTCTGCTGTAAAATGAGGCTGCAGGTGCAGAACTTGGAAACTGACAGGACTGCAAAACAGGATGGTTTAGTTGTCCATAGTTGCTTACATGGAAACTCAAACAAACACAAGGAGGTTCTGCTTGCAAGTCGCGTCCCATAGCAAACCAAACTCAAACACAAGGAAGTTCTGCTTGCAAGTTGCATCCCATAGCAAACCAAACTCAAACACAAGGAAGTTCTGCTTGCAAGTCGCGTCCCATAGCTAACCAAACTCAAACACAAGGAAGTCCTGCTTGCAAGTCGCGTCCCATAGCAAACCAAACTCAAACAAGGAAGTCCTGCATATAAGGCGCGTCCCATAGCAAAACAAACTCAAACACAAGGAAGTTCTGCTTATAAGTCGCGTCCCATAGCTAACCAAACTCAAACACAAGGAAGTCCTGCTTGCAAGTCGCTTCCCATAGCTAACCAAACTCAAACACAAGGAAGTTCTGCTTCCTAGTCAAACACAAGGAAGTTCTGCTTGCAAGTCGCGTCCCATAGCTAACCAAACTCAAACACAAGGAAGTCCTGCTTGCAAGTTGCATCCCATAGCAAACCAAACTCAAACACAAGGAAGTTCTGCTTGCAAGTCGCGTCCCATAGCTAACCAAACTCAAACACAAGGAAGTTCTGCTTGCAAGTCGCTTCCCATAGCTAACCAAACTCAAACACAAGGAAGTCCTGCTTGCAAGTCGCTTCCCATAGCTAACCAAACTCAAACACAAGGAAGTTCTGCTTATAAGTCGCGTCCCATAGCTAACCAAACTCAAACACAAGGAAGTCCTGCTTGCAAGTCGCTTCCCATAGCTAACCAAACTCAAACACAAGGAAGTTCTGCTTCGCGTCCCATAGCTCAAACACAAGGAAGTTCTGCTTGCAAGTCGCGTCCCATAGCTAACCAAACTCAAACACAAGGAAGTCCTGCTTGCAAGTTGCATCCCATAGCAAACCAAACTCAAACACAAGGAAGTTCTGCTTGCAAGTCGCGTCCCATAGCTAACCAAACTCAAACACAAGGAAGTTCTGCTTGCAAGTCGCTTCCCATAGCTAACCAAACTCAAACACAAGGAAGTCCTGCTTGCAAGTCGCTTCCCATAGCTAACCAAACTCAAACACAAGGAAGTTCTGCTTATAAGTCGCGTCCCATAGCAAACCAAACTCAAACACAAGGAAGTCCTGCTTGCAAGTCGCGTCCCATTGCTAACCAAACTCAAACACAAGGAAGTTCTGCTTGCAAGTTGCATCCCATAGCAAACCAAACTCAAACACAAGGAAGTTCTGCTTGCAAGTCGCGTCCCATAGCTAACCAAACTCAAACACAAGGAAGTTCTGCTTGCAAGTCGCTTCCCATAGCTAACCAAACTCAAACACAAGGAAGTCCTGCTTGCAAGTCGCTTCCCATAGCTAACCAAACTCAAACACAAGGAAGTTCTGCTTATAAGTCGCGTCCCATAGCTAACCAAACTCAAACACAAGGAAGTCCTGCTTGCAAGTCGCGTCCCATTGCTAACCAAACTCAAACACAAGGAAGTTCTGCTTATAAGTCGCGTCCCATAGCAAACCAAACTCAAACACAAGGAAGTTCTGCTTGCAAGTCGCTTCCCATAGCTAACCAAACTCAAACACAAGGAAGTCCTGCTTGCAAGTCGCTTCCCATAGCTAACCAAACTCAAACACAAGGAAGTTCTGCTTATAAGTCGCGTCCCATAGCTAACCAAACTCAAACACAAGGAAGTCCTGCTTGCAAGTCGCGTCCCATAGCTAACCAAACTCAAACACAAGGAAGTTCTGCTTATAAGTCGCGTCCCATAGCAAACCAAACTCAAACACAAGGAAGTCCTGCTTGCAAGTCGCTTCCCATAGCTAACCAAAGTCAAACACAAGGAAGTCCTGCTTGCA